AAAGGTAATTAGAATTTAAGAATATAAATTTCAGCCCCATACTTTGAGGACTCCCCATACCACATGGGCCTGATGCTGGAATTGGGTGGCTCATTGCAGCACACCCTAAAACACCCTCAGAGCCCATATGTGCCTGCCAGGCTGTGGCTGCTGTGTTTTGGTAAGGCAGGCTTGGTTGGGAACATGGGAACAAGCATCTTGCATCTTCCCTGGCATTCCTCCCTGAGCAAATGTCACCTGTTCTAATATGAGCTATTTTTCTTTCACTCATACACTTAGAAAAATGAAAAGGAGCAGAGTGTCTGTGAAGACAGAAAATGTGTGCTGTGCTGTGCACAGACTGGAGAGCTTGGGTGTCTCCAGCTGCAGCCAGCCCCAAGCCTTTTGTAGGACATGTGGTGTTTGAGGATCAGGGTGGCACAGGGCAGCTGTTTGCAGATGGGGTTTTAGCAAAGCCCCAAAAGAGCTGTGTAGCTCCATGAATCCAATAAGGTACCTGGGTACAGGGAGATGTTTTTACCTATTTCCCATCTTCTTGCAAGCCAGTTCCCTCTCAAGCTGGAATGAATAGTTGTATTCTCATCCTATGACACTCATTTGTGCCTTAAAACTTCACACTTGACTTGTCTGTTGTTTTGAGTTAACCTTGTACTAGCCTGGATGCCTGGAAGGGAGTCAAAATTATGACTTTCTATAAATACTATTTAGCTCCATGATATATTTTTTCCACACAAAATTGGTGCAGGCTTCAAGTTCCTGTATTCAGCCCTGAAGCAAAGAATGTTTAGATGAAGCTTTGGAGAAAATTGACCAAAACACTTTTAAGTTACAGGTAATGACAAATTATTGTAGCTGGAATTTTTATATATTTCTAACTTTTAAAGGAATTATTTCAATCCCTTCAATGTTTTTACAGCTTGGTTTTCATGAAGGTTGATGAAGGTCTTTTCATGAAGGTCTTCTCTATGTCCTATTCACATTTAAAACATTTTGGGTATTTTGCCTATTGATGTAAGTATAAAATTTAAGTGCACAATGTTAATGTGACTTCATTTTGGAAGCTTCATTTCTTGGGTGTAGAACTCTTAAAAGGGCCTGATTTCCAGACCAATCTGAAAATTAAGCCCCTGTAAGATAACTTATTCTGGAACCTAAGAGCAAAGTCTCCATCCACATCCAAAACCTTCAGTGTAAATGAAGCTGCCTCTTGGATTACTTGAAAATGTGTGCAATGATGTTCTCACCATGATGTGTATGAGCCTCCTCTTCCTTCAGTGTCTGCCTCGTGTCCTCAGACTGGCAGGGCTGGGCTTTGGCCCTGACTCACTTCAGCAGCCCTCACTGCAAGGTTTCCTTTTTATCCTGCTTGCAACTACTTGGTGTTCTGCAATGTCTGTCAAAATCTGTTGGGTTGAAGTGGAACTTGCTGAAGACCTGATTAAGCATTTCAGTTTGGTCCAGGACACAAACCCTTCAGTGTTTGCTGCTATATTTTCATTTTCCAGTCTCACTGGTAAAGCTCATGCACTGAGCCATTCAAAGGGATGCTTGCAGCTGTAATGGACTGTGCCTGCACTTGGGAAGAGAAACCCCAATGTCAGATGAGCCTGGTGCTGTAAACCAAAGAGCTGTAGAGGACAACCTGTGTGTCACTGGCAGCTGTACGCTTTTAAAACTGGAATAAGTTATAAAAATAAACTCTGTTGCTGTGGATAATGCTTAACAGTGAGGTTTATTCTTAATTCAGCTCCTGTGTCCCAGTTAACTGGGAATCTGAATTAGCTGGGGATTGATGATGATCCACGGCGCTGACAGCAGTGGAATGTTTCAGACCCAGGTGAGCAGAGCTGGAAGGGCATGGACTGACTCCAACAGCAAGGGATCTATTACACTTGATCTCCCCAAATTACTTGGCAGTTTAAAAGGAATATTTACAAGCAATATTGCACATCATACTTCAATTACAGTGGCCTCAGTTTGAGAGGGAGAAGCTGGCATTCTGCTTTTTTCTCATATCCTAACTTTTGCCCTAGTTGTAGGGTTAATTAGCTTTGCCCTTCTTTGGTTTTACAAGGTAGCTAATAAGAAACATCATTATTAAATGTGCCCTGATAGTCTAACACACTGATTTATACCAGCCCTTGACTCCACAGTTGCTAAAATCTGCTGACTTTTTACTTGGCTTAAACTGAAAACTTTCATTTGTTAATTAATTGCTGATTTAGGGTGCAGCAACAGTGCAATTTAAAATAGGAATTCCCCAATGAAGATACTTCCCATTTTGATCCAGATGGATGTGTTCTGGTTTTGGGGAGAAAAAATTATTCTCTTAGAATGCAAATTACTGCCTTGCATTGTTTCCCATGCCAATAACTGAAAACACACAATACATCCCACTTCAAAGAACTGAATCCCAGGTAATGCTCCAGCTGTCAAACTATTTTTTCTCAATAAAATTTTCTATTTACTGGTTAGTTATCCTGTCTTTTTCTAGGCCTGCAAACTGCAGACCTCTGTTGTTTCCAGACACAACTGTGCTAAAGGCTCTCAGCAAAGGCATATCCAACAAATCAGTTGGAGACTTCCACTTCTAAAATTGTAGTTTTTTGAGAATGTAATATAAATAATTCCTGAGGATTGTATAAGAGATTGTACACCTTCACAAAAATTACATGTCCAGTCAATAGTAAGCCCTTTTTTTTCTTCTTTGTTTCAAGTGGTATCGAAGAGTTTGAAAATCATATTTGCAAAACAATTTTCAAAACACACACTGTTCAACATTTTACTCACCTGTCTCGTGAAACTTGGCTTCCAACTTAGGGTTCCAAATCAGATGCAGTAAATGCAAACTACAGTTGCTGGAAATGCCAAGAGAATTAGTGCAACATATCCAAATTTATTAGAGAATTCAAGATACTCCTTACAACCTAACCTCTTCCTCCCATGCTACACATGCAGTTGTATAACAGAGATGTCTCTTTGTTCATCTCCAAAAACAAATTCAGTTTGATACTATCCAACCTTGGGAATTGCCCTTAAATCTGTTTTGTATTGTAAAGAAAATACAAAAATATCTGATTTTTTTTCTTAATCCATCTCAGGAACATGTTCTGATGGTATTTCTTTAAGAAACTTGCAGAGGCACGACACACATGCAAAGCCTACCTAGTGAGGATTACTGTGACACAATTTCCACATGCTGCATCTTGGGAGAGGTAAAACAGATTCTGTACAGTGTTGTCAACACTGATTTGCTTCTTTTTCACTGTAAGTCTGAAGGATTTTTTAGTTGTTATTATCCAATTACACAAGGTACAACAGTGAAAGATTTCCAGACTGAGAGACTGTGTGGTTTTTGGCCTTTCAATATTTGAGTACCTGCCTCAGCAAGTTACCCAGTACACACAGTCACAGTCCTAAGGGTGTTTTAGAAGAGCTCAAGAGCAGTGTTCTGTCCAAAGTGTAATCATCAGAGCACTTGACATCAACTGTGCTGTCCCAGTTGCTGTGAAATGTCTACCAAGGAGTCCTCCTGCCTTGCTGGCTGTGCTGCCAGTCCCTCACAAAGCCTGGGAGCACGGGGGATGTCCTGGCTTCACCTCCTGCCTCTCGTGGAGGATCTCTGCACACCACACTCTATTTTTATTCTATTTAACATGGATTTGTGTCGTTTCCTCCATCACTTTCTACCCACTTTCAGGGTGGGCGCTGGGGCAGGGATGCCCGTGGCCATCAGTCCTCCAGCCCTGGGTGCAGGAGGTGCCCCTTTTTCTGGCAGCTACCTCACACAATCATGGAATTGTCAGGGTTGGAAGGAGCTCTGGACATCACCCTGTCCAAGCCCCTGCCACGGCAGGGTCACCTGGAGCAGTGACACAGGAAAGTGCCCAGGTGCACTTGGAAAGTCTCCACAGAGGGTGACCCCACACCCTCCCTGTTCCACCCCCAATGTAAAGCTCTTCCTCATGCTAAGGTGAAAATCTTTGTATTTTAGTCTATGCCCATTGCTCCTCATCCTGTCATGGGGCACAACTGAAAAGAGTCTGGCACCATCCTCTTGGTACCTGACTTTGAGATATTTATATTCTATTTGAGTATTTATTCTGCATTACAGAATCACACAGTCAACTGGTTTAGAAAAGACCTCTGAGATCATCGAGTTTAAACTGACCAAACACCACATCAACCAGGCCATGGCACTGACTGCCACATCCAGCTTTCCTTCAAAGACCGAGAGGAACCGTGACTCCACCACCTCCCTGGCAGCCTGTTCCAATGTCTAGACACCCCTTCTGAGAAGAGATTTTTCCTGATGTCCAACCTAAACCTGAGCTGGCGCAGCTTAAGGCTCTGCCCCATCGTTCTGCCGCTGGTTCCGTGGGAGAAGAGCCCGCCTCACACCTGGCCCATCCTCCTGTCAGGGAGTTGTAGACAGCAGTAAGGCCTCCCTGAGCCCCCTTTTCACCAAGCTGAGACGCCCCCTCAGCCGCTCCTCACAGGACCAGGACGTGTATAAACGAGATCCCCTCTCAGCCTTCCCTTCCCTGGGCTAAACTCGGGCAGCTCCCGCCGCCTCTCCTGACGGCCCGAGCCCGTTTCGCAGCGGGACAGCGCAGGGGCGATGCCCTCCTGCGGAAATACTCCAACCCCTGCTTGAACCGCCAAGATGGCGCCGGGCTGAGGGGGGCGGGACCCGCCACCGCCCCCCGCGCGCCATCGGGGAGGGGGCGGGCGGGCGTTGCGCGTGCCGCGAGCGGCCGCCAATCAGGGGGCGGCGGCGCCGGGCGGCGCGCGCAGGCGCGCGGGGGGCCGTTGGCGCGGCGGCGGCGCAGGCGCGGTGCCGGTGTCGCTGAGGGCGGCGGGTCCCGGCGGTCCCACGATGTGGTTCGGCGGCTCCGTCCCCGCCGCCATCGCCGCCGCCAAGGAGCGCAGCTCCGTCTTCGTCGTGTTCGTGGCAGGTACGGTACGGTACGGTACGTCCCGGGGCCGCCCGCCGCCCCCACCGGCGGGGCCCGGCAGCGCCTTCCCAGCCGTGTCCCGCCCGCCGCCCCTCCCGCCGAGCGGGATTTGTGCTGTGTCAGCCCCAGCCCGCGGTGTCGGTGTCCGGCCCCCGCCCGTCCGATGTGCCGCCGTCCCTCCGTTCTGCGCTCCTGCGCCCGATTCTCGCCGGTGCAGCTCTCCGGGCTGCTCGTTGTGTTTTGTTTCCGTTCCTCGTACCGACAGTGCGTGTTTCATAACACCGTAATTGGAACCTGCGGGAATTCACATCGTCTTGTGTATGCTGCCTTTCTCTATGAAAAAAACATGGGAAAGAGGGACACAGTCTTGAGCTGCGCCAGGGGAGGTTTAGGTTGGATATTGGGAGGAATTTCTTCCCAGAACGGGTGATTAGGCATTGGAATGGGCTGTCCAGGAGGTGCTGAGATCCCTGGGAGTGTTTAGGGAAAGGCTGGACGTGGCACTCAGTGCCGTGGTCTGGTTGACAAGGTGGGGTTTGGTCATAGGTTGGACTCGATGGTCTCAGAGATCTTTTCCAACACGATTGAAACTGATCTTCTGTGATTAGACAAGCTCTTTAACTTATTTTTGAGCTTTTCCGTATCTCTGTGTGCGTTGTTTCTTAAGATTTTACTGTTGCCTTAGGTGCTCTTGGTTTGAAGGTTTTCAGATGCTTCATGAAACAGTAACAATGTTGAATGTGTGACTTACAGTTGTTCCCTTAAGAACTATTGAACTGTGGGACTCACGTGGCTTCAAGAAGTTCACTCCCAAAGGGGATGTGAACAGAAAATTGCAGTTAAATTCCTTTAACCCAACTCTCCATGTACTTGGAAAACAGCATTTTCTGCTGGATAGTAAACGTACTGATAGAAATCAAGGGCTGGTCAGAGCACAGATTGGGCTGTGTTGGAGTAAGGGACGGGGTGGAGCAGTTCATGAAGAACCTCAGCCCTTGAGAAAGAATCACATTGCACAATTTGGGAGGGACCCCATGCTGGAAAAGTATGAGGAGTCCAACCCCTGAGGAGGAAGGAGCAGCAGAGACAAGGTGTGAGGAACTGACTGCAGGTGGGGTGGGGAGGAGATTTGTTTTCGTTTCCCATGATTCTGCTCTGATTTTTGATTACTAATAAGTTAAATAAATTTTTCCCCAAGTCAAATCTGTTTTGCCTGCAAAGATTACAGGTGAGTGATCTTCCCATGAGCCTTCCATGACATTCTCTCACCTGCCCAGCTCAAAAGGGCAGTGACAGAGGGTCTTTGGTGGGCCTCTGAGTAGTTTCAGCTTGATACATAAATCAGGGAGAAATGCATGTTGTAACTTATGTCCAGTATTTTTTATGAAACAAAAGTTCTGCACAAAATGGGGCCCATTAGATTCTGATGTTGACTAGGTGGGTGTAGGAATATGTAGATACACAGGGGAGATACATTTATGGTTGCAGGGATGTAACCTAGTTTTGTCACAGTGTGTGCTGTGAGGATTTGTTTTGTTTGTTCCTACGAGCCCTGGAAAAGGCAGAGCATGACTTCAGCCAGGCACATCTCTGAAATGGAAGAGTTGGAGAGTTCTGCCCACATCTGGTCCACCCTGGGCACCGTGGGATCAGGGCAGCTGACCCATGGCAGAGCTGATCATGGAACTGTTCTGTTACATGTGCTGGGAAAGGCAGCTGGGAAGCCCAAGAACTTTCTCAGTGTGTGTGGAAGCAGCTGTGTTTGAAGGATGTGGAGTGCTGGAAGAATAGTCTAGTTTTGTGTAGCAGAGGTTGAATTTGTTGTTTGGGTAGAAACACGTTTCAAACTGCACAGTGATGGTAACTTTAACCCTTACACCCCACACTTCCCACCTGGAGAACAGGCTTTCAGCAGTGTTTGGTTCTGTACACTTCATCCAATAATATCTATGGAAAAAAAATAATGAGAGAAGTTGAAATTGTGTTGGGGCAGCCATTGTGTAGGATAGCTGTTAGGTACAGTTGACCAAAATTAGGAAATTCTAATTGGACAGATATGTCCATCTGTGTTTGGTTTCCACCACCATCTGCCTGTCCCTCTCTCCCTCTCCTCTGCACTTCGCTTACATTTTCTCTAGAAAATGAAGAAATGGATTATTCTTTCTGGTTCCAGAATATTTTCTAGTCAAGCAAGGAATAATGTGGTTATTTATCTTAGAAATGAGGTGGCATTTGTGATTGTAAGTGTACATCATTCGAGCAGGTTTCTCCTAAAGCGTTTTTGCTTGCAGCCATAATCCCAGCATTTTGAGCTCAGTGTTTCAAGCCTTCATGGCACATTCTGGTGACAGGATGGTGTAAGGGCATTAAAGATGCCATTGAACTCATGGGAAGTTGTAATAAAAGGGGTTGCTCCATTCTCCCCAGAGAGCATGAGGTGAAGCAGGTCTGCCTCAGGAAACTGCTTTGAAATATTGGGGTGAGATGTTGGGGGCCTCTGGACACGCCAGGTAAGGGGGGTGTGTGACTGGGGAACACACGAGTTATTTGTGCCATGGAGTCATGGCCAGCAGCACCTTCCCTGTGCTGCTGCTCAGGGAGAGGATTCCTGACAGTGCCACAGGTCTGGCAAGGCAGGTGCCCCCGGGCATGGCGTGAAGTTGTGTCAGGGGAGGTGCAGGCTGGATATCAGGAAAAGCTTCTGGCCCCAGAGGCTGCTGGGCAGTAGAACAGGCTCCTCAGGGAAGCGTTCAGGGAGAATTTGGAAAATGCTCTCTCTAAATGTACATGGGAGGATTTTTGGGGTGTCCTGTGCAGGGCCAGGAGTTGGACTTGATGGTCTTTGTGGGTCCCTCCCAGTCCAGGATATGTTATGATTCTTTGAACATCCCTGGTATCTTGTTGGTAGCTGTTCTGCAGATGATTTTGTAGCCTACAGAGTTAAAAAGCCTTTGATCCTTTGAGTCACTAATCTAAACTTGGTAGTTCATTTGATAAAAAATCTCCTCTGTTCTGACTGAGGTGTTGCAGATTATTTTGTATCTTTCCAAAGGTTAGACATGTTCTGATCATTAAAATACCAGGCCAACTCATAAAAAGTGATTTTCAGAGTGAAAAAATGAAAGGGTATGTGTGTGACAATAAAAAGCTTTAAATTAAAATGTTTGCTCAGTTTCAATGTTTGTAGAAACCTGCCTCCTTTTGTTCATAACTTTATTATTTAAATAATTTTTTTTACAAAATGGTGATTTGCTCACATAAGCTGTTTCTTAGTTATTTGTAGCCAAGATGTATCAAGGCACTTTGCAAGTTAAATAAGTGAAATACTGCAGAGGAGGAGGAGGTGAGTGGTTTAATGTCCTGCCTTCCTGGCATTTCCAGAATGGCAGTCCTCTCTTACTGAGTAGTTATGAAATGTTGGACATGGAGAAGTAAGTTTGGCTTATCTCTCTCCTTCTGAAAGGAAAACACTTCCCTGATAACTGTGTGCTGAGGAGAATTAAAGTCTTCTGACAACCTGTGATGGTTTTGAGTTAGCTCCTCATACAGGAAGTAAATTATTGCAGAAGAAGAGTCTTGTCCAGTATGTGAATCACTTGAGACATGATCGATGTTTTCCCTATATAGATTTTCCTGATCAGATTTAAGAGATGGGGAGGTGTAACTGTGACTGAGTTGTTTACAGATCATTTCACTAAGTGAAATAGAGTGATGTTTTTGTTTGAGAAACAAGAAATCTGAGAGGTTTGGGATCTAGAATTCTAAGGCTGTTGTGCTGGCTCAGTGTTTAGCAGAATTATGAATTATGTCAAGTTCTGTTGCACTTGACCTCTTGACTTTGCTGATGTTTTTCCTGTGACCTGGCAGTTTTGAATTCAGGATATAATTACAGCTACAAACTGTAATAAATGAACCCTAACCGCTAAATGAGAAAGGGTTATCAAAACAAAAAGATGTATGAGAATAAGCAACTGTTCAGTGGGCAGTGACAATATTAACATCATGGCCCAGAGCTTTATGAAATGTGAGCTATCAGCATTTTCATTCAGTCATCTCTCAGACTGTACTGTGAGCAGCCTCTGCCATGTTTGTGTCTTTCAGCATTCTTTTCTCTCCAGCAGTTGGCTGCGTGGAAAAGTTAGTGTTAGGCAAGTATTTAGATATTTTTAGTAGCCTAATCAGATGAGCACATGTCCTTGTGAAACAGTGTGTGGGGAAGCAGCTGCCTGCCTGTGAGCATTTGGAAACAGGAGAGGAGGCTGAGCTGCTCTGGGCACAACAGCTGCATTGACCACACTTGGAAGCACTGCACTTATAGCAAGAGGAAAGGTTCCCACGTAAAATAGCCTAAATATTTGCTTGCTTATGCAGAAGAATAATAATAGAGGTAGATACTTTCTTACTTGATCCAGTAATTTCCAGGGAAGAACTGAGACACGTGGTTGAAAACCACTTTTCCAAAATTGTATTTTTGATACGTGCCCCTGTGAGAGGCCTTGTGACCAGATAGCAGCACTTCACTGGGAGATGCCACATGTAACTCCTGATCTTTAACAAGTCAAAAATATTGCATGGAATGGCAACTGGGATGAAACAAACAAGTGGTTTGTTGTTGTCACTGAATAATGGACTACTATACTTCTATACTTGTGACTTGGGTTCTTCATTAGGACTGCAGTCCATTCCAAGCTGCTAGGAAGTAATACAGATTGAAGATAAAGAAATGGTTGCAGGCCAGTGTACTTGTTGAAAGATGGTTAATATTCATCAGAATCTATTTATTAACCCACACCCTCACTTAACTGGTGTTTTAGGACATAAATGTATGATTGGTCTGTTTCATCTGATTAAAATAACACTTCTGAATCTTCGGCCCCTCAACACCTTTTCAGTTCCTCTTATCCAAGTAGCTCCTCTGCATTTGTTATTCTTGTTCTGTGCTCCTCACACCTTTTCCTCTCATCATACAGTTACTCTTAATGTCAGGAAATGGAATACAAAACTAAGTTATAAATAATTTGCAAATAAATGTTTCTTGGTTTGGGGATTTTTTTACACTGTCAAACTGTGAAACCTTACCTGCTGAATTATGTATTTACAGGGAGTGAAGAACATAGTTTTACCTACTAGCAACTGATGTACTAATATATAATTAAACTTATGAGGGGCAAGCAGAACATAGTTTTGACATATCAAAGTAAACCAGCTGGAGTGAATTGTTTCCAGATTATTAAAAATAATAATTATAAACTGACTTGAAAATAATCCCTAGAGTGTTTTACAAAGGTGAATCCAAGGGATCGAAGGAAAGGTAAAATCAGGGCAGAAACAGCAATTTGTGGTGGGTTTAACTCATGTGTGTGCTGTGTCTTGCAGGTGAAGATGAACAATCTGCTGAGATGGCTGCGAGGTGGGAAGACGAGAAGGTGACTGAAGCTGCATCAGATGGTTTTGTTGCTATTAAAATTGACACCAAAAGGTTTGAGCCTATTCTAATTCTGTCTCTTATACAATCTTTCATTGATGATGATGACAGTAAGAGGCTTTTGAAGTCCTCACCCTGATTAGGAGGTAGTGTAAATACAGGGTTCCAGAACAGAAGTGAATTCAGTACTCCTGGAGTCCCGAAAGCCCGAGAAAATGTCAACATTTATTGTTGTGTTCTGCACATACTCATTGAGTATTTCAGACTGTATTCCAGTACTAGTAATAGAATGCTTGAGGTTGCCCTTTCTCAACTGGAAGAGACACAAAAATGCTATTAAAAATGCAAGTGCTAGAGGCAGTTCTTCATTTGCCAAGTTACATAATGAATTAAAAACCTTTCATGAATTCAGAAAGATAAAAATCTGTAAAGCCCCAGAGAAAATGTGTTTGCCTCCATTGTAACACATAGAATGGAGAAGCATTTAAGCTCCTGGGTAAATTACTCAGCTATTTTTGTTAATGTTTGTGTTCCAGTCCATGTACACAAAGTGCACTGACATTTCCCCAAATGGTATTATTTTGAAATGCTCTATAGACATTTTATTAGATTTACTACATTATTTGTGCTCAATAGACTAAATTTCTTTTTCCTGACTTGCCTTTTAGCACTGCTTTCCTAATTTTTATGTAGTCAACTGTGATAACCAAGGATTGTCACCATGTCAACACTTTTGCAGAATGTTAATGATAAGATGCAGTGCAAATTTGCTTTTAGTGTTCTCTCAAGTATTTAAATAGTTTTGTAGGACAGTTATTTTTATGATGAAAGACTTAATCTGAAGTTGTTGCAAAATGATTGCTACTCCTAAATGAATCTTTTCTTTTGAACAGTGAAGCATGCCTGCAGTTTTCTCAAATTTGTATCCTTTGAGATCTGTTTAGATGCTACATTATGATTACAGATAATTGCTCTTTACAAGTTAATACCCTTCTTAAGACAAATACTTACAAGCAATGCTATTGAAAATACTTATTTTGGCACAAAACTATGCAATAAACTGTGTTAATAGATACCATCTGTGTATTCAACTAGCTGTCAGTTATTAGAGAAAGTGAGCAAATTGGGTTTTTTTATGTTAATCCTATGTAATTCTCTAAATAGAAAATTATCTAAAGCTTTATGTAATCTAAATAACCTGTTGGTCCTACTAATCAGCATTAGAAAACAAACAAAAAATGCTTTAAATTATGAGCTGGGGCTCAGAGGTGCAGAGGAGGGGGAGCAAACAGTGGCCTGGGTTCTGTCACATACCCAGGTGTGAAGCCAGGTAAAGCCCTGCCTGCCTCAAGGAGGTCACTGCTTACAGCTCATTAATTCTGTGTGATCCTGGGAATTCTTAACTTGCATATCCTTCATCCTCAGGAGATTTCATTACTGTCTACTTAAGATGTTGTCTGACACTAAAACAAAATATTCTAAAGTCAATGCATAATCAGTTGCCTGAAAAGCTGGAGAAAAATACTTTGGCTTAAACCAGTAAAAAGGAAAGTAGAAATGCTTACCAGTTGCATGTAATGTTTGCCAGCATCTTTTTCTTTCTTCCTCCCCCATCCCTGGCTGCTGGTGAGCAGCTGGGGATGAGAGCCCTGGGCTAGAAGCTGCTGTAGGAAGGTCTGCTTTGCCCTGTTACTGTGTGTCAACTCCTGCCATTCACCGCCCTTAACTTCCTGTGCAGATCCCGTAGTGTGCGTCCCATCCAGCTTTTTTATAGGAGACAATGGAATCCCTTTGGAAGTTATTGCTGGCAGCGTTTCTGTGGAAGAGCTTGTTACCAGAATCCATAAAGTCAAACAGGTAATGCTGACAGGCTGGATCTTCCAGGTGGAGCTGGTAATGCTCAGTTCAGTGATGGCCCTGGGCCTTAGCTTGTGCCTTTGGAAGTTACTGGTGGAAGCAGAACCAGTGAGTTACTGGTTCTGTCCTTCCAACAATAACATCTGCAACCTTGGGTTCAGCACACAGGTTGGAAGCACTGTGCACATGTGCTGCATTAATTTTTGTTTGGTTTAGATCACCTCTGTAAACAAACCCACGGTACTGGAGAAATGTGTCAAGAGCTCTAAACTGGAATGACAAAATGTGACAACTCACCTTTCAGGGGATTACTCTTCAGCTTATAATGTGGTTATGTAATATTGTTCTGTAATGTGGACTTATAAAGTTATATACAAATGTAGATTGCTTTATCACTTTGATTTCAAGTGCAAGACTAAAATTAGAAAAAAATATGGAATGCATGATTGTACCATACTCAACAATATGTGGTAATTCTAGTTTTATAATTTCAGTAGGGCTGATTCTTCAGTAATAATTCATTCTTGACCTTTTTTTAACCTGTGAAAAATATTTGAACTTTCACAGACTTCATTCTCTCTTCCCAATTTCTCAGATGCACACAGGGAAAGGGCGGCCTGTGGAGAACGGCAGTCAGGCATCTGCTCCCTGTCCCTCCTCTCAGTCTGATGGTGCTCCAGAAAATGCAGAATCCAGAGCAGGGCTTTGTAACTCTGCTGAGGCTCTTATGCCTGAGACAGTAGCATCTTCTGCTGGTAATGGTTAGTGTTCTTGCCACCTCAAATGGCACTCATTTGCTTTGGAAATGGTTTTTCTTAAGTTGTTACATGATGGTACATAAAAGGATACATATTGAGCTGACTCACTGAAGAAAAACTTGGGATATTCCAGAAAGCTTTGTGCAAGTCTAGAGGGAAGGATAACTTGTCATTCTGCTTAGTTTTAAGGAGGAAGCTTTGGTTTATAACTCAATAAAACTGTGTATGCTTTCCTGAAAAAGGGTTCAGTTAAAGAGTTTTTTGGCTTAGTAACCTGAAACCAGATTGTTGAGGGAGAGAGTCTAAGTAACAGAACCCTGTATGAGATATCCCAGTTGAAAATTGTGGCTAGCAGTGAGCCTGATAATTGTTATGATAAGAAATGCACCTTTTCTTTTTTTCTTCTTTCTTGTAAATCCCTTGAAGATGAAGCAAATTCAGGTGAAGCAAACCAGGAAGCAACTAATTCTGCAGATGAGCAAGCAAATGATGCTCAGCCTGTGAATGATCTTACACTCAAAGTAGAAAGGCAAGTCTTTTTTGCAGACTTCTTAATGTGTTGTATTTGTTTCTCAGGAGGCAGTTTTGTTGGGTTTTGGGTTGGTTTGGGGTTTTTTAACAAACACATTTAATTACAGGGTTTTGGTCCTTCATCTGTTGTTATCTGGCAAATATTGGTGGTCTTACTTTTTATTACATGTCTCTGACAATACTAGGGCTGATACCAAATCAGGTTTTTAATTAATATAATTCCTCATGTACTTTGAAAGAAAGGTAATCTGGAAAACTCTAAGTGTTCACCTTTGATACAACTTCAATAGAGAGAATACGTTTGCTGCAGGTTCTTGACTTAATTGAAACATTGAACTCAAAGCAATGGAAACTGGTGCAATAAAATGCCAACCTAGGTTTTGTATAGAGATGTCACCTTATTTCTTCTTGTTGGTTTGGTGACTGTTTGTAGTCACCAAACCAACAAGTCATTGAAAAAGTCAGTGGAATCCTATTCTGAGGCTCATGTTTTGATCAGTGAGCAGTAATGACTTGAGTTCAGTTTTTTGAAGTCTGGTGATCAGAAACACCTGGCTCAAAACATGATTGATTCATAATTAATTGTTTTTAAATATGGGATATTGTTTATAAACTTGTTTTTAGTAAGTAATTGATACTTGAAATAACCTGTCTAAAACCATAACACATGTTTAGAAAATAGGAATATTTATAATACTAAAATATATTTTAAATCTTTTTCATGCTTATTTTAGTTTTCTTCTAAAGTTATTAGACAAGAGGTATATTTTTTACTTACCACTGATAAGGCAATGCAGTCAACATTTTAATATATTTATCAATGTTCCTTTTTAAATAATGCATAATTTATCTACAGCATTTTTTGCAAGGGGGAGAAAGAGGCCAAGCTCTGTGGTAATTACCACTTTCTTTTGAACAGCTACCATATGTTTTTCTGATTATGAGACTTTTGACTTTGGGTCATGCCTGCCCTTTTCCCAGACTTCAAATATGTTGGGATTTTATTGTCAATCTGTATTGAGAAATTTACTTTGTTCTTTTAAGTTAATCTTTATTCTGAGGCATTTTTCTGGATAGCTGAGACAGATGCATCTGCATCTATGTCAGGGCTATATATTACTTGTGTTCCATTTTAGGAGATGATGTGCAGAATAAACCAGATGGCTTAAATAGCTAAAAAGAGACTGAGATTTAGTGTTTCTGTTACCATAGATCATAAATAGTATTTGCTTATTGTATATCTTCATCAGTTGGTTCAAGAGTAAGAAAATGTAGGAATCTTCATTTAATGAGTGGAAAAAGGACAAAAGGAATATGTTAGAAGAACTCTGCAGTGAGAAAGGAGGTGGTGAAATCACCACTGCCCTTTGCATGGAAGGTGCAGCCGCATGGGAATGAATCACTGCTGGTACACAGTGCTATTAGCACTGTGCTACAGCTCATTTTCATGTGTTCTCCTGGGCTTGCAAATGCTTCATTAACATTTGAAAATACTGCAATGATACCACTTTTCACTCTATTCTTAAATTCAGGTTAACAAAAAAGCTTGAAGAAAGACGAGAAGAGAAAAGGAAAGAAGAAGAACAGGTAACACAAAAATGTAAAACCCCTTGCAGTTGCAGGTTTGGTTTTTTTTAACCCTTATTTGAATAAATAATAAATAATTAATTCCACCTTACACAAACATACTTCAGTCTTTTCTCTTGCCCAAGGTAATTTTGTGGTCCAATTTTTATATCTCTCTATTCAGAAAGAAATTAAGAAAGAAATTGAAAGAAGGAAAACTGGTAAAGAAATGTTGGAGTACAAAAGACGACAGGAAGAAGAACTGACCAAACGTATGTTGGAGGAAAGGAACAGAGAAAAGGCAGAAGAGAGGGCTGCCAGAGAGCGCATAAGGCAACAGATTGCAATGGTAAATTTTGCATTTTGGAAGAGTTTGCTGCTTCTCTCTCTCACAGTGTGCTAAAATGATAATTTTTCTCATTTGCTGAGGCTTTGAAAGATTATTCATTTTTCCATTTGGAATCCTGTATAGCCTTGTATAGTAACAATTTTTGTGTTTGGGGTTTATGTTTTTTTATAGGAGACAATGGAATCTGTTTCATTTTATGCGCATTTCCTGTGTATAAAATGAAACTTCTGCTTTCATTTTCACAATTCTTTTCTATATGAACAAACATTTCTGTCATATTGCTTGAGCCTAGTGGAGAATTATCATATAAATGTAAAAATAATTGCAATTTAGGCATGGTGCTAAAAGACAAGCATGAGGAGTATTTAATTGTAGAACATACACAAGAACACTGCTCTCAGAATGGTGAGGAGGATTATTTTCCAAGTTAGTATATATGTGTGTGTGCATATATGGATGTAAACAGTAGATAACAACTGAAATTCTTCCTCATTATGAGGTTTTGATATAGAACACTCAGAATTGCAGTTGTGTAAGGTTTTTGCCTTTATCTTCCCTGCTGTGTTGAGCTTGCATGGGAAGATATCTATTAACAACTGGTTGTGGGAAGTGACTCAGTGAGAAGTGTCATCTTGGCTAATGACACAAGATTGTGCAGTTTGGCACTGAATAATTCTTTGCAGTTCCACTGTCTTTTCTCCATATGCTCTGTTTGTATCTGTGCAGTTGGTTCAGGAGTATAGATCATAGCTGTCTAATGAATATTAAGCAACAAGTTATGTTAACAATGAAGGTTTCCCTTTGATCCTTCCACAGGATCGTGCTGAGAGGGCAGCTCGCTTTGCAAAGTCGAAGGAAGAAGCAGAAGCTGCAAAAGCTGCAGCTCTTCAGGCTAAACAGGCTGAAATAGAGGCCAGAAAAGAGGCAGCTCAAAGGGAGCGAAGGTGAGTTGCAGTAGAGACACAAGTGTGTATTTTGGGGGAGAGAGATAAAGAAACTTTTTTACGAGAGTTAATTTATCTCCTCATCTCTGGTTGCCGTGTTGAGCTGTTTAAATAGTGACATTAAAGGTAGCTGTTTACATGAACGTGATGCTCTTTGAGAGCTCTCATCTTTTTGACATTCGTGATCATGAAACACTGACCACCTTTACTGGTGTGTTATTTTAGTTAGATAAGAGCTGTTTTGTGTCTGAGCTTTGATTTAAATACCAGTATATAATGGAGCTTGCTGGGGTACTAGATAAGGTGAGAATTATGCCTGGACAGAATGACTGGATAATGTCAGCACTGCTGGGAAGCTTGGTGCAGATCCAGGGGCTGTGTGTGGATGGCTTGGATTCAGCAAGGCTGGGTTGAAGCCATCAGCTGCCCATGTCAGAGCTGTCTCCTGCTTTGCCCAGCACTGCTGGTTTAAGAATTATCCAAACCTATGGGAACCTTATGTGGAATTGTGGAAGAGATCCATTGAGATCAGCAGGTGGTTTTCCATTGTGAATTCAATCTTACAACCCTTCTGCACTGCCCTGGGCAGCACAACTGTCCCTCTCTGCCACATTTCAGTAGTACCAAGCTCAAGGCCCAGGAGCCTTTGTCTGTAAGTGCTCATGTCCTGACTGACCCCAATACCTGTCCCGCAGTGCAATAGCCAGGATTCAGTTCCGCCTCCCCGATGGATCTTCCTTCACCAACCAGTTCCCATCTGAAGCACGGCTAGAAGAAGCCAGGCAGTTTGCTGCACAGGTAGTATGGGCATTTTGTTTCTCAGCTATGTGCTGGTTAGGATTTGTTGAGCCTCAAGTAGTTGTTATGGTGGTGGAGTTGTCATCAACTCCTTTCCTTATTGGGTATTTGAAGGGAGTTTTAGCAGCCTTCTCCAGTGCCACCAAGTGCCTTTGGATTGCTGCAGTGTGCATTAGTAAGATATAGAGAAAAATGAACAATATTTCATCTCCTACTCTGAGGATGATTGATAGTTTGATACAAAACTCTTGCTAAGGTATACTCAGCTGGCAAATACACAGTTGTTTGAAAATGAGCAGTTATAAATCCAATGTTTTCTTTATGTGCTTCACAGACGGTTGGTAACACTTACGGCAATTTTTCACTGGCCACAATGTTTCCCAGGAGGGAGTTTACCAAAGAAGATTATGGAAAGAAGTTACTGGAACTCGAGTTAGCACCCAGTGCTTCAGTAGTGCTGCTGCCGGTAGGTGCTGGGTTTTGGTGTGTCTGATTTTTCAAACAGCAGTACAGTAGCTGGATACATGCTGTTATTGGGCTTGAATTTGGGGATTTTCTTTGTCTAAAGATTGCAAAATTACTCTAGTTTTTGTCAGGACTGATTTGGAGAAGTTTCTCTGAAGCAGATAAATGGTGGCATAGACACTTGTCTAAGCTGTAACCAAAGTTGTTTTTTTTGTGTCTGCTGAGCTGCTTAGAAAGGATGTGTGAAATACTCTGTCTACAAGAGCAGGACTTTAATACCTGACAGGTTTGCTTGGTGTGTTCATGACAGGCAGGAAGACCTGCGACTTCTGTTGTTCAGGCTTCGGGCAGTGATCTGTGGAAGTTCTTGGGCACAATCCTTTACCCCCTCTTAGCGGTTTGGAGATTCATTAGCAACTTCCTGTTTACGAGCCCTCCCCCCTCACAGCCCTCTGTGAGATCAGCTCATCAGCAAGAGCACTCAGCTCCCTCCACGTCGGGCAGCCTCGAGCAAAGCAGGTAAGGCAAAGTGCTTCAGGCAGCTGTTTCTCTGAGCCTCTTGCTGCATTTGCTTTAATCTTGTAGTTGGGAACTGAACTTCCAATTACACAGTAGGAAAAGCATTGTCTCGCAGTTATTTATGAATAGGGAATTCAGCTGTAACTACAAAGGTGAGCTTCACTTCAGCTGATACTGTTTGGAAGGTAAAAATGAGATATCAAACTGTTAGGGGATGGTTGTTCAAGAAACAGAAGCAGATGAAGTCTGGTTTTGACAGGTTTTGTATTGCCTAGAGAATGAGATCTCCCATGTACCAGGAGAGCTGCTCAGCTGTTTCTGGTGAAGAAGCCACTTATTGCTTCAATGACAGGGAAAATGAGAGTCTGCCACTCTGTCTGACTGCTAAGTGACAAATTTTCACCTGGGTATTGCTTCCCAAGGAAACAAAGGGTTGAAGAAAACTATTCTTGAGGATAAGAGAAGGATGGATGATTTGTGTTTATTGCAGTTGTTGCTTCTCTTGTGTAATTATTACTGAGGAAACTGTCAAACCTCACTGTTCTTTTGTGCCCTAGGCAAGCAGTCAGGAAACGAGTAGTGGAAAAGCGGGGGGAAGACTTCAAAAAAGAAGGCAAAATATATAGACTGAGGACTCAAGATGATGGAGAAGATGAAAACAATACTTGGAATGGAAATTCTACACAACAAATGTAGTTTTGAGTAACTGCAGTTACTATCTGGCTGCTTTTTTTTTTCCTTCTCTTATTTGATCTGTCAACTAAAGCTTCTGGACAAGTGGGGCTTATTTTCCACTGACTGAATTACTTAATTCTTATTCCTGGTGGATTATGGAATAAAGTCACTTATGCCAGAAAAATCAAGTGGGTGTAGGTGAAACCTAGTAAAAAGACTGAAAATCTCCATCAGCTTTCATAAATATTGCCCTATGCCATAGAAAGGCACTTTTTAATCTATAAATATTCTGCTACATAAATTTAAGGGCCAGATATATTCATATGAAGGTCATGGTAGACAATGACTGATTAAAATGAGGGTTTCAGAAGCACTATAAGTAGCAAATCACGTAACTAATTTATGTTTAACTTTTTTCTTGCTTCTGCAACTGCAAGCAAAACCTTGTAGTTTTTAATTCCCTAAGCACTCAATAAACTATTTTCCAGAAAACATGACTACCTTGTGAAGTTCCTCTGATGTGCTGGTATCACAAGGGAAGCAAGCAGGATCATGCACTGAAATTTAAAATACAGCAGACAAACATTTTGTTCCAGTTTAAATGACCTTACTGTACATGAAATAAAGGAAAAAGGGGGTGAAAATCCAATCTGTACAGTAGTTGCAGTATAACAGTTTTCACCAGGAGAGACACTAATTTGTCTTAAAATTCTGAGAAGCAGGAGAACTTCCAGGGGTCCTTTCAGAACTGTTGATGATGATGATGAAGCAAGGACAGATTCCAGCTGATGTTCAGAATCTTTGTATGCAGATAGGAACAACCGATTTTACTTTGGTCTTTAAGAAATCAAATCAGTAATGCCCATGGACAAAAGAGACAGTTAACATAGAAAAATAATTTTCCTCCCCCTTTTTAAATTGGAATGAAAACAACACAATGCTGGGAGCCATCTCTGAGGCAAGACAGAAAGCTGCAATACTGCAAGCAGTAGTTCCTTTTCCTGTTGTTATAGACTTTTTTTTTTTTAAGAAAAAACAAAGCAAACAAACGTTTTATGAGATGGAAATATTACAGTTTACTACTAAGTTCCATGTGTGATTGTTTAGGGGATCTTTTGGACAATTTTCCATATTTGTATGCAAAAAGAGCCAAGCCCAGTGCTCCAACTATAGAAAGAGCAAAAAGCACATAGAGTGCTGTTTCTGCCCCTTGGGATGTCAAATCCAATCCCAAAAAGCTCACGCTGTCAGCTGCTCCTGGAGTGGGGTCTGTGGGTGTCACTGAATGGGAAAACAATGAGAAAGGGTTAGTGCAGAGTGTGTTCCATGCAGGGGTGGGCATTGCTGCTCCCTGCCTGCACCAGCCTTCAACTCTGCTCTTCAATACTCTGGCAGGAGCAGGACTGATACAATTCTAGCTCAGAGTAAAGGCACAGCTGAGGCTGATAGTGCAATTCCTGATGGTACAGGTGAGCCTTCTCATTCCCAAACCCCACCTAACACTGCTTGCTTTTCAGTGGAGAAGACACAAATGAAAAAAGAATCACAAATGAAAAAAGTATTTCCAAAGTCTTATTCAAAACTAGGATTTGAAAAAAGTATTCAAAAATTTTTCTAAACAATCTTGTGGGAGTATCACATGTGTGTGGTTTAGAAAACATCTTGGGCAGTTCTTTTGAAGTCTAATGGAGTAACTTTTGCTACATTCTTAAGCATGTGTTGAGGTGCTCTTGCACCTCAACAAGGTTTGTTAGTCTGGTCTTGCATAGGGAGCTGACATTAACTGCAGTCTTTAAAAAAATATTGCAGAAAATGGTGGTGTCTCTAAAAACCTTAGGATTCTGGAACTCTTTTGGGATTAGGATTAGATGCAAACACACAAGCACCATTTCTGCTGTGTCACTTACCTTCTGGCTCCTGTCCCAGACAGGGATGTGGGCCCGTGGCTGGGTCTGGAAAGCCATTGCAGTTGATGATCTGTGAGTAATACTTGGCTGAGGCCTTGGGGCGCCGTGGCAAGGCTGGGTCTGAGAAATTCACGTGGTAGAGCCCAAACTTCTCCTCATAACCTGCTGCCCACTCCAGGTTGTCCATCAGTGTCCAGGCAGTGTAGCCCCGCAGGTCAACACCATCGAGCACAACGGCTGCAGGCAGGAGCAGAGCAAACAGGGCAGTGGTCACCCCTCAGCCAGCCAGGGCAGGAAGGTGCTCCAGAGCACCCACACATGGCACACAGGGAGGTTATTGCCAACAAGCAGGTGCACTCAGTGCCCAGGACTGGACGCTGCTTTTCTCTGCTCCAAAAGTCAAAGCTTTTGTGCAAGAAACAAAGGTTTAGGAATAGAGAAGAAAACCCATCAAAATGCAACCATTGCCAAAACAGGTGTTTGTGGGGCCTTTACACAGCAGTAAATGCCTGAACACCTGGCTGCTCCCAGTAGATCAGAAAAGCAAACTGAAAAAGCCCTTTCCTGAAGCTGTTTAACCACTCCTGTAACTGAAACCAGTTTGGGCACTGGGTTTTTACTGTTGTTTTTTAAAAAGATACAGTTTTTAGACACAGCAGTAGTCAGACTAGAAGGAGTTTATCAGGTAGTAGTACCTCTCTCACCAGCTGCAGCAAACCAAGGAACCTGCAGGATACCCCACTAAACCCAGAGTCTGTTCTCTTCCTTTAGATTATCTTTCCTGGCACATTTGTGACTATCCATGAGCAGTTTTTGGTAAACCCAAAGGCACTTTGAAATGAATTCAGTAAGCCCATGTAACTGTGTAACTTGCAAGTGTGATAGCAGTGGTCTTTCAGCTCTTTACAAATTGCTTTATACACATCACTCTTGTGGCACAGCCAGTGCTGCTCTCAGAGCTTTGGATGACCAGATGTCAATAATGACTCTTACCTTTCAGTGCCTCATTAATGTAGGTCCGATAGTAATGCATTCTCCAAGTATCATTGAATTTAAAGGCTCCCCTTTCTGAGACCCCATTTTCAGTCACATAAATGGGAGGGTTGTTGTACTCTTCCTTTATCCACCTGAGGATCTTCCTGAACCCAAAGGGCGTCACCTTCAGCCAGAGAGACCCGGAGCTCAGCCAGCTGCGGTCGGTCACTGTGGCCACGCCCCTGTGGAGGAGGACACTGCTCAGGGCCAGTCCCACCTGCCAGGCAGCTCCGTGCCCAGGACTGAGGTGCTGCTGCTGCTCACAAGCCTAAAAAACTCTTCTCATGTTTTCATTTCCAATAACACTCTGTGTAAATCAGCTGTGGCTGATTCCAAACTTTTGCATGCTACAACACGGCTTCTGCTTTTCAAGGCACAATGCTTGAGCACACAAAATTGCCCTTTACATTACATGCAGGAATGTAATGAGCCCACTGTCCTAGAAGGTTAAACTATAAGGGGCTGGGATGTACCAGCAAAGCAAAGTTATTTCCAATTTCATCTATTCCCTGTGGAAACATTTTGAAAAGGAGACAATTTCACCCCCATGTGTGGTCACACCATTACCTGAATTCTCATTAGAAAAACTAGTAAGCTCCTATTGTTTACTTTTTGAGGTTGAGAAATGAAATAATTAGTATCTAAATAAAAAATCTTGACTTAATCTATACTTAACCATGAAGTGATTTAGCTATTTAGGCTATGAACTTACATTTATCCAATGCATTGAAGGACCTAAACCTGTTTAACAGCAAATGGATCAGTGTGCATAAACCAGGATAACACCTCACCGTTTAAATTGCAGACTGGAGGCAGGAAATATGATAAATACTGTTTATCACCTCATGTCTGTAAGAAAAAGGCTGTTGCTGCACTTTTGTAACAACAGCACCTCAGGTACTGCTTGGTTATATTATCCCTAGTACTGGTTTTTAACAACTTAAAACACCTATCTCAGCTTTATTTGCTAGAAATTTACACTTGTCAGTTAACCCAGGCTCCAGCTGTGCAGATTTTACTTGAGCAATAATTTCCATCCATCTCTTACCTGTCAGAGTCATATGACATAACACCCTTAGGATAGTTTAGGTTGTATGTTAAAACCGTGGTGTAATGATTTAGGCCAAAGTAGTCATATGTGCCTTTAATTCTTTGTTTTTCACTTTCAGTAAATTCTGGAAGTCTGCAAGAGAAAACAAAGAATACACTTTGCACACCCACTCCATGGGTAATGCTGGGATCCCTGGTACCAGCACCACAAACCCAAGGAGAGAAACTGGGAATGGCAAATAAGAAATGTAACTGAGAGGGACCAATGGGTTCAGTACATAGTTTTAAGAAAAGTTAAACAAATTTACCACAGGCATCAGGTAAAGTACTGTGGCTAATGCAGGGCAGTTACTGTGTCACTGTGCTGACAATTTGCTACCCCAAAGATATATTAGTCAATTTAGTTTGCAAGAGAGGTAAAGACAGGGAATAGATAAATCCCCCCTGCCTAGATTGGAACTAAATGATCTTAAAGGTCCCTTCCAACACAAACCATTTTGTGATTCTCTGAAAATATACACTAGAATTTTTCTGTGAGGATACAGTAAGCTTTTATACAGTAACATTGGAATAGAATCATTGAAATGTATCATTTCTGTAGGAAAAACATGATTCAGCACAGCCAGTGAGACAAAAGCAGGTGTGTGCCCTGGGCTCTTACCGGGACTTGCTCAGGCCCTGGGCCAGACTTCGTTCCCGAATCCTTCTTTTCATCACTTCACTATAATCACCATTTTTGAAAATAGGGTGAGCAAACCAACCTAGAAAAAACTAAACCAGAAGATAAGGGAAGATAAATCATATATGAAAACTTGGGATTTAGCCATTCTTCTGTCATGTGCTGCTTTATAGGTGATACTTGAATTTACAACAGGCACACAGAGATACAAAGAGATGCCCATATAACAGCAGCAAATTCAATAAGCTTTTGACACTGCAACCATGTTTTGTCTCATTTCTGTTGTGTTCTTGATCAGCCCCCATAAGAGTGGGATATATTTCCTTGCAATGATGCCTCTGCCTCACCATGTTATTTCAGTGAGATGCTGACCTGGGTTCTGGGCATGTCCAGCACCCAAAGAGGAGCAGGGAGAGCTGTGACCAGGGGTCTCTGTACCTGCATGAACCGTCTGGCAGCTTCAACGTCCTCCTGGCTGTGTGGGTTGCGTGGTTCTGCCCAGTCAGAGTTGATGGTGATGGAGATGAGCCCTCCCTGCCTGGCCCTGAAGGTCTCGTTGTAGAGGTGCCAGACCTCCGCGTGTGCCTTGATCAGGTTGTGCCCCACCACGTAGGGAGCGCGCCCTGGCCGGACCGAGACGCCTGCAGGGACAGGGACAGCACGGGCAGGGCAGCAGGACCTCCCGTGGCTGTTCCCAGGTTAACACAACCCCAGGGCACCCAGAACTGCCCCTGGGAAAGGAGTGAATGTGCAACACCTGGTGCCCCAAGCCCAGCCCTGGGCTGGAATCAGTGCTAGGCAGAGGCAGCTGAAGGAGCAGCTGCCA